CTTCCAGGTGCTGAGGAGAAGCAGAAAAAAACCACCAATCCTTATGGAGCTTTCATTCTATTAGAGGAAAATACACAATAAACCAATGAAGTTGGTTAGATAGTATGTTAGAAGGTGAGAAGTGTCATGGAGAAAATACAAAGCAGGGAAGTCATGGCAGGAAATGCCAGAGGAGACCTGGAGGTGCAATGAGGTAGTTAAGGAAGTTCTTCCTGAGAAGGCAACCTGGTAAACCACAGGCCCACAGGCGGAGCCATGTGGCTTCTGCTTTCCTTTGAGGAGCCAGAGTTTAAAAGGCTCTTTACAATTTCTAATATTGTGTCTTCCATAATTTAACCATCAAGTAAGTTGTTTTGTATGTCCGGGGCCAACCAGGCAGGAGAAAGTAACAGAGATTGCTATCCATTGATCTTAGAATATTGGATGGGGATGGGATTAGGAAGAATGTAATCCCAGTACAAAGTTTCAGAGAATGAAGCTGGTGCTTGCTAAGTTACATAATGAGAGAAAGATAGGGCAAGGGACAACAAAACAAAACAACCCCGGAAGGCTAGGATGGATAATTTGGGCAGGTGCATTTTGAACGGTGGCAGAAAGTAAGCTAGACAATAGACATATAATGTATATGTTTTATGTTGCATTCTTAAGATTTTATACTTTAAGAAAGTAAATAGACCTCTGACTTCAGATTGCATGGGGCAATTGCTTTTGACACTTGGTACAATAGGGAGAATTTTGCTTCAAGTCACAATGCCTCAGAACCGAATCTGTTTACATCTACATGCATCCGCAGGAGCTGCATGGAAGTGAAAATACAGGTCAATGGCTCCTCTTGCCTGGTGAAAACTGAGTCTTTGAATAGACATGTTTCCCAGGGTATACTCCTCCTGTTATCTCAGAAGTCTGAGTCTCTGCCTGCCCTTTGCTGTCAGGGAAAAGAAGCCGCTATGAATCTTCCTCCTCCCCCTTCATCCTGGCTGCTCTGCAAGCTGCCCCTTCCCCAGGCTTCTTCTCCCTCCCTTTGCTGTGCCTCAGTCCCACGGCTCTCTAGCTTGCAATGCTCTTGTATTGCAAATCCATAGCCACTTCCCTTTCTTTCTTTCATACACAGTGGGGAATGTCATTTTTCTGCAATCTCAGAATATATGGGTACAACACATAGATTTCACAATTGGTTTACATCAGTATGGGTCCCCTAATGCTAGGTCTTCAGGTGGGCAGGAGGTGGTACAATGCTGTAGTTATATTCTAAGAATGTGGAACACTCACCCCAGATCGTCCTGTGTTCCTGCCCAGTTTGTTGCAGGCAGAACAACATAGGAGTGGAGATGTCATCTCCGGAGCCACACGGCCTGGTATGAATCCTGGCCCCATCACTATCTAGCTAGTGTGACTATGGGAGATTACTTTGCCACTCTGTACCTCAGTGTCCTCACATGGGCCTCATTATTTGCCTGTATCTACCTCCATCGCTGCTGTACTGTCAGAGCCTAGCAGGCAGAGGACCTAGGACATAGCAGCCATTCAATAGACTGGATGAATCCTGAGGTGTAGCAGTGATGGCTGAACATAACACGAGAGGTGTTCTCCATTTTGAAGAATCTATTAATAACACAACATGTAGTTTATAAACATCTAGAATCCAGCTACTCGCCTTTCTTTACAATTTTATTTCCAATCCACACTCTCAGGGCCAGTGAGAGTGTAAATTGTCTCAAATGTTGCAGAAAACAGTTGACAATATGTCACAAGAGCCTTACATGTTCAAATGATTTGAACCAAAAATTATTTCTGAAAATGGATCCTAAAGAAATAAATACAAATACAGAGGGAGGCTGTCACTGTACTGCTGTCGTAGGAAATATTTTAAATGTAAATTCCAGTAAAGGAATGTGTAAATAAAGTAACAGCAAATTGTGCAGCTATGGAAAAAATATTTGGCAGATCCCACCTTCTTCTCTTGCCTGCTCAAAGCTGGTCCACAGTGGCTGGAATCACAGAGCCGTGGTGGTGTTCACCGCCTTCCCTCAAAGCCAACGGCTGATTCTGAATTATAACTCATCTTTCTCTTACTGTGTTCCTTCTTTCTCCCCTCTGCCTACCTCTGAATTCGCCTCACAAAGGCACTGTGAAGAGAATTAAATTGAGAGAGTGGAAACAGAACATAGTAATTACCTCTGTTTGTTATTCCTTGTGTTGCGTTATACACCTGCCATTCCACAAGACCTGTAGTTCATCCTCTCCAGTCTTTTCTTGCAATACTGATGAAAGGAAATTTGTCTTTAAAGATCCCTAGGTGACTGCCCAACCTATTCTCTTGAAAATTTATGCTATGGTCTACTTTGTAAGCTTGGTTTTAGGTTTGGTGATATCAGGATTAATAACATTATGATGCATGCTAGTACATTTTATTTCTTTGGGTTCTGAACAGAGACAGTATTTTCTAAATAACAATTTTATTCAGTGCCAACAAAAATGCTCATGAGTTTATATGACTAAAATATAAAACCTGGGACAGAATTTGTTTACTGAATGAAACACTTAGAATTACCTTTAGGAATCAGATTTTGTTTGTTTGTTTGTTTGTTTGTTTTGGGGTCTCGCTCTTGCTCAGGCTGGTTTGGGACTTCTGACCTTGAGTGATCCTCTGGCCTCTGCCTCCCAGAGAGCTAGGATTACAGGAGTGAGCCACAGTGCCTGGCCCCAGATTTGGTTTTAAGTATTTTAAAATGAGGGCTGAGTTTTGAAGTGTTTTCATTTAAACTGTAATTATAGTCATAAAGCCAATGAATAAAATTTCTACCCATGTAGTTGTATGTATTCATTGTCATTACCTGTAAGCGCATATCTTTTTTGAAAATACAAGATATGACAAGATCAGAAGCCAGTCTTGTTTCTCTATTTCTCTTTCTCTGGAAATAATTCCTTAGGAATCCAAACCAACAGTAACACAAAGAGAGAAAAATGAAAAAACAAAACAAAACACCACAGGATGATGTTTATATAAAGAACAAAGGTTAAAGACTCCAAGTCTTTTAAAAATTTATTTTGTTGATACGTATCTTAGTTAATGAGGAAAATGATTTGTTTGATTCTATCAACATTCATTTATTCAAGAAACCATGGTCTCTGAAGATGAACGGATGGGGCTAGAATCTCGACTCTATCTCTTAATAATTGTGTAACTTTGGGCAAATTATTATTTAACCTCCTCATGCCTCAGTTTCCCTAACCTATAAAATGGGAATAACATTAGTATTTAATTCATAGGGTTGTTGGGAGGGTTACCTAAGCAAATACATGCAAAAGTTTAGAATAATCCCTGGCACATATTAAGTGCCCAATAAATTCTAGATGTGGGTCCCTATCCTCATAGGGTTTATAGTCTAGTGGCAGTATAGACAGGGCGAGTAGCAAAAGACATCAAACAAATCACACAGCTAACAGCATCTTTACAATTGTGTTACGTGTAATATAGGAAAGCAATGGGATGCTAAAGATCAATTTGTGGGCTGCTTTTCCAATGAACCGCAAGAATTAAACTTTTATGCCCAAGATGGTTGTTATCACACTTTTATAAAATCAAGAAGAACATCTACTATTTCCACTATCATATATCCACTCATTTTATGTAATTTTACTGGAAAAAAAATCAAACTTAAAAACCTAAGAACTTTTAATCTGAATATGATGGTATATAGTATTTATATGTCTATATATCTTGTTTTTTTGTTTTTATTTTTTGATACAGAGTCTTGCTCTGCTGTGCCTAGGCTAGAGTGCCGTGGCATCAGCCTAGCTCACAGCAACCTCAAACTCCTGGGCTCGAGCAATCCTACTGCTTCAGCCTCCCAAGTAGCTGGGACTATAGGCATTCGTCACCATGCCTGGCTAATTTTTCTATATATTTTTAGTTGTCCAGCTAATTTCTTTCTATTTTTAGTAGAGACAGGGTCTCACTTTTGCTCAGGGTGGTCTTGAACTCCTGACCTTGAGCGATCCTCCCACCTGGGCCTCCCAGAGTGCTAGGATTACAGGTGTGAGCCACCAGGCCCAGCCTATATCTATATCTCAAGGTGTTTATAGATAAATCCTAGTACCTGAAGGGGAGAAATCATTCAACCTGTTTGTTTATAATCACAAACTAGTCAGTAACTTACTAAATATTGTGCTCAATTTTACAAATATTACTAAGTATTTTACTCTTCAGTATAGCTTTTTAAAGACATAGGGCTTTTCAAAACTCTTGACTGCGAGTAAAATACAGGGAAGCACATTATTGCAGTTTTTAAAGAAGCCAATTTGGCACAGTGGACCAGAGTTGAATACATTTTTCCAATCAAAAGCCTATCTCTCTAAGTTGTTTTTCTCTGGTGAAGGAGGAAATCAACACCCATCTGCACTGAGATAAAGTTTCAGAGTGTTTTTATATTAATTAGTATACTAGTCTAGTAAGTGATAATCCATGGATAAATCAAGAAGAGTCAAGAGAGAAGAAGAAAAGTATCCTTCCTTCAGTTGCAAATAATACTTATATTAGGATATGACAGCACTTAATTTTGCACAGAGTAATTCAACCCCGGATTTCTGAGTTTTTAAGAGCCGAGACAGCACAGTTACAAAGTTCAAAGCCCCGCCCAGCAGGGTCGACCCTAGGTATCGCTCAGCAAAAGCGGCAGGCCATCAATCACCGGGTCCCAGGGCAGTCTGAGGGATGCTGATAACCAGAGGCCACGCCCCGGATTCGGTAACCTGGGCTTTTGGGGCCCGAGGGGCGGGGCTCGCCACCTGTCGCGACGCCGCGGCTCGGCTCCTTTCCACACTCCTCCCCGGACTCTCCCTGTCCTCGGGTCCCGCCTCCCTCGGGGAGTCCCCGCTCCTCGCCCCACTGGGCTTCCAATCCCATCCCGCCTATGGCTGGGCAGCCAATCAGGAGGCGGCCCTCCTGAAGGGGCGGGCCGGGGGGGCGGGGCTGGCTGGCGGAGCCTGAAGTCGCCCGCTTCAGCCGCGGGGCAGTAGACGCGCCTGTCTGCTGAGGGAGGAGACGCGCTTGCCGAGGCCGCCTGCGACGCTGTGCCCCGCCAATCGGACACCATGGAGGACAGCCGGGATCCCGCCAGCGACCAGATGAGCCGCTGGAAGGAGCAGCGGAACGGGCAGGTACACGCTGTGCTCTCCCAGCCGCCGAGGGTCCGCGCGGAAGCGGGGCGTCGGGGAGTAACGGCCCCGGCTCCCCGCGCGGCGGCGCGGCCGGGGGCTGTACCACTGATCCCGGCGCGGGGGGGGGGCTGCCTTTGGTGCAGACGGACTGTCACATTCGCGGGAGAGGGGCCAGGGGTCTGGGACGTGGGCAGCGGCCTGCAGGATTTGTCACCCACGGGGCGCGGGTGGTTGGCTCCGAATTTTGCGCTTTTGCCAGCTGGGACAGAGGTCATAGCTTGGGGAAAGGCAGGGAGCTGCAGCTGCAAGAAAGGAAGTGACGGGGGAAGGGGAAGCAGGCTCTACCTTTGGCCTTTGTAAAACAATATCTACATGCATTCACTTTTGCGGGGTGCCACGGGGGCAGGGACCGTGTTTTGTCCTCTTGATGTCACCAGCACCGGACGCGGTGGGTGGAACGTAGTACGCACAGCATTAAGCCGGCAAAATAAAAGAATCTTTATATCCATTATTTCATTGGCAGTTAAAAACATCAAGCCTAGCGTCTTAGAGCTGGAAGTGACATTAGGGATTAATTAATGCGTTTATTCACACATATTCTTTTGAGTCCCTGCACGTGTTATTGTGCTGGGACACGTTGTGCACATTCCAATGAGGCAAGAACAACGCCCTTGAGAAGCTCAGAGAGTCTAGTGTGGGAGATAGGTGCATAAACAGGTATTTGCCTTCCAGCGTGGTGAGGGCTCTAGTAGAGGTTATCTGTAGAGCTTAAATAGAATGACCAATTTGGCTGGAGAAAGCTGTTACATCAGAATAGGAACTTCATTTTATTTTTTATTTTTTGAGACAGAGTCTCGCCTTGTTGCCCAGGCTAGAGTGAGTGCCGTGGAGTAAGCCTAGCTCGCAGCAACCTCAAACTCCTGGGCTCAAGCAATCCTCCTGCCTCAGCCTCCCGAGTAGCTGGGACTACAGGGATGTGCCACCATGCCTGGTTAATTTTTTCTCTATATATATTAGTTGGCCAATTAATTTCTTTCTATTTATAGTAGAGACAGGGTCTTGCTCTTGCTCAGGCTGGTTTGGAACTCCTGACATCGAGCAATCTGCCTGCCTTGGCCTCCCAGAGTGCTAGCATTACAGGTGTGAGCCACCGCACAAGCCCAGAATAGGAACTTTAAAGAGGATTTTAGCTCAGTGCTGGTGGGGGAGGCATTCCTGGCCTGTGCCTAGGGGTGCAGAGTCTGAGAGGGGATCTATGAGGAGGTTGGATTGGATGAGACCACATCTAGTTTGAGTCTTTTGGCAGATTAGCTCAGCTGAGGACTTGCCCAGTTCCCATGGCTGCCGGTTAATGGCAGAGAGAGGACTGGAGCCTTGCCCTTCCTAATCCTGCCTAGGGCTCTTAAAATCCTGCTGGTGTTCATGAACAGGGGTAGTAGCAATGCTAAGTGCTCATGGATTGCTTTCTTGGTTCCCTGTTTGGGAGAAGGCTGCCATTCTCTAAGGGTCTGGAAAATCGCTCCTGTTGGCCCTTCCTTTGTTATATACCACTAGGACAGTTAAATTTTTCAGGAATTCTTAAATTGAACCAGAGAGACTTAGAGTTTTAAGCAAGGGCATGCAACCAGTTAGTGGCAGACTCAAGATTAGAAAGCTTCACGGTGCCAGGACTGTTTCCATACCCAAGTGGTTGCTAAATCCTTGTTCACACTGCAGTTTTCTATTTTATTTTGAGACAGAGTCTCACTCTTGCCCAGGCTAAAGTGCCGTGGCATCAACCTAGCTCACAGCAACCTCAAACTCCTGGGCTCAAGCAATCTTACTGCCTCAGCCTCCCTAGTAGCTGGGACTACTGGCATGCGCCACCATGCCCGGCTAATTTTTTCTATATATTTTTAGTTGAGACGGCTGGTTTCAAACTCCTGACCTTGAGCAATCCTCCCACCTCGGCTTCCCAGAGTGCTAGGATTACAGGTGTGAGCCACCGCGCCTGTACTCACACTGCAGTTTTCATGAATACTTGGTGAATTGAGAAAAATAGACAATGTAGTGAGATTTTCATAAAACAAAATATATTCATTTTTAAAGGACTTCCCTTTATTGTGAGACTAGCTTGCTTTCTTATTTGAGTGAATCATGAATGTTGAATCATTAAGTCCCTGCTGTTGATTTACTTAACATAGTTGCCCATGTAAGAAACATCTCACTCACAAAGTACACTGGAGGACTTACAGTTGGAATTTTGCTATCTCCTTTTGTCCATGGCATCTCAGTGCACTGTGTACATTGTCCTGTTTGGCAGTCACATTGAGTCTTGTTCTTAAGTTTTACCTCCTCTCAGTGAAAACTGCTTGCTTCTTTGAGATGACCCCTCCAGGGCCCTCCAAAAGAAATTGTGCATATGCCTCATAGCCTATGCAATTTTCAAACACTTTGTTATGATAAATTTCAAACATTCAGAAAAGTTGAAAGAACAGTACAGTGTATATCCATAAATCTACCATCTAGATTCTACAATTAGCATTTTGCTATATGTATCTTTTATTACATGTTATTCTATTTGTTCATCCCTTCATATGTCCAATAATCCATTAGTTTTTTCAGCACATTTTTTTTATATGGCCTGCTACCCCTCTTTTTTTTCCAGCACATTTTAGAATAAGTTGGAGATATCATTATACTTTACCCCTAACGACTGAGTATGCAAATTAACAGGTTAGAGTGTTTATGTTTTTAAGATAGTATTTATATACAGTGAAATGTGTAAATATTAAATGTATCATTCTGTGAATTTTGATAAATATATACACCTGTGAGTCCTAAAGTCTTATTAAAAGATACAGAAGATTATCATCATAAGTCTGGAAAGCACCTTCATGCTATTTCCTAGTCATTCCCTGCAATCTTGCCCCAGGCAGCCACTGTTTTGCATTTTTTTTTTTTTTTTTTTTGAGACAGTCTCACTCTGTTGCCCAGGCTAGAGTGCCGTGGCGTCAGCCTAGCTCACAGCAACCTCAAACTCCTGGGCTCAAGCAATTCTTCTGTCTCAGCCTCCTGAGTAGCTGGGGACTACAGGCACATGCCACCATGCCCGGCTAATTTTTTCTGTATATTTTCAGTTGTCCAGCTAATTTCTTTCTATTTTTAGTAGAGATGGGGTCTTGCTCTTGCTCAGGCTGATCTCAAACTCCTGAGCTCAAACGATCCACCTGCCTCGGCCTCCCAGAGTGCTGGGATTACAGGAGTGAGCCACCACACCTGGACAGTATTTTGCATTTATCTGAACCATTGATTCATGTACTTTTTTTGTGTAAGGTATCTTTTCATTTAGCAAAAATCTTTTTAAGATTCATTCAAGTTGTTTCATGTATCAGGAGTTTGTTCATTTTGTTGCTAAGTAGTATTCCATTATATGACTATACCACCATTTGGTTATTTTGTTGCTGGACACCTGAGCTATTTCCAGTTTTTTGCTATTATAAATAAAGCTGCTATGACAATTCTTATATAAGTCTTTGTGCACATATGCTTTCATTTCTCTTAGGAAATACCTAGGAGTGGATTTGTTGGGTCATAGGATAAGTGAACGTTTTATAAGAAACTGCCAAGCCTTTTTCTAAAGTGCTTGTACCATTTTACACTTCATCAAGAGTTCCAGTTGTTCCACATCTTATGGTGTGTTGTCAGTCTTTTTTTTTTTTTGAGACAGAGTCTCACTCTGTTGCCTGGGCTAGAGTGCCGTGGCATCAGTCTACCATAGCTCACAGCAACCTCAAACTCCTGGGCTTGGGTGATCCTCCTGCCTTAGCCTCCCGAGTAGCTGGGACTGCAGGCATGTGCCATCATGCCTGGCTAATTTTTTTATATATTTGTAGTTGGCCAATTAATTTCTTTCTATTTTTAGTAGAGACAGAGTCTCTGCTCTTACTCAGGCTGGTTTAGAACTCCTGGCCTTGAGCGATCCTCCCGCCTCGGCCTCCCAGAGTGCTAGGATTACAGGTGTGAGCCACAATGCCTGGCCTATCCAGGCATTTTCTTCTGAAATTATGAAGGGCAGACAAGATGTCTTTTTAAAGAATATGTTAGCCGGGTGCGGTGGCTCAGGCCTGTAATCCTAGCACTCTGGGAGGCCGAGACAGGAGGATTGCTTGAGCCCAGGAATTTGAAACCAGCCTGAGCAAAAGCGAGACGCTGTCTCTACTATAAATAGAAAGAAATAAGCCAAACAACTAAAAATAGAAAAAAATTAGCTGGTCGCGGTGGTGCATACCTGTATTCCCAGCTACTCAGGAGGCTGAGGCAGCAGGATTGCTTGAGTCTAGGAGCTCCTTCCCTGCATTAGGGATGCAAGCATGTCAGGAAACTCTGTGTAAAAAAAAAAAAAAAAAAAAAAAGAAAGAAAGAAAAAGAAAAAAGAATATGTCCTCTTTACTTTCTGATATTAAAATATTCTCTCTGTTAGGAAGTTATGACAGCAACAGATGGTATTCTTATGTATCTTTTTAAAATATCTCTTGCTTGGTAAATCCTTTGGTATAAGTAGGCAGCTCTGGATTAGTAGTATCTTCCCTTCCACTCCCCAGTTAGTTTTGGTCTTTGATCTTGGGAGAGCTTCAGATTTTGGAACTACTGTAGGACACTCTGTTGTCTCCACCCTCAGAACCAGATGCAGAGTGCCTGCTGGGTGTATCCTCCTCCGGCACCAGGGTGCCAACCAATGTGAAAGCAGTTTATTGGGCGTCTCTCCTTGTGGTCAAATTTTGTTGCTGACTAGTGAATTGGGAGTTTTGTAAGCTTTAATAAATGACCATTCAGTCACATGTGATCATGTGATAGTAATAGGTATGACTTGGATTCACTTAAAAATCCGCATCTCTTTCTCCTAAAGTACCTTGGCAGGAAGGAGGTGGTTCTACAGGTATTCCCAGTCACTTTGAATGGAACTTAAATGGGAACTTTGTTGCTCACAGCTTAGAATGCCCTGGCTCTTCCTTTGGGAT